TGCCCTTTGGGGAACACTGGGAGGGAGTATGTGCCCTTTTGGCACTGGGGCGAGTACGTACTTGTGGAAAACCGGGAGGGAGTACGTGCCTTGTGGGAAAACTGAGGCGAGATGTACCTTGTGGAACACTGGGGCGGGTACGTGCCTTGTGGAACAGGGAGGGTATGTCCCTTTTGGAACACTGGGAGGGAGTACTGTGCCTTGTGGAACACTGAGGCGGTACTGTACCTTGTGGAACACTGGGAGGAGTACTGTGCCTTGGGGAACCCGGGGGCGGAGTACGTGCCCTTTTGGAGCACTGGGGGCGAGTACTGTACCTTTGGAACACTGGGAGCGATACTGGCCTTTTGGAACATGGGGGCGAAACGAAAATTTTTGGGGGAAAATGGGGGCGATACTGTCCCTTTTTGGACACTGGGGGGGGAGTATGTACCTTTTGAACACTGGGAGCGAAATCTGTGCCCTTGGGGAAAAAACCCGGGAGCGGTACTGGCCTTGGGGGGGAACCTGGGAGCGAGTACGTGTCTTGTGGAACACTGGGGGGGGAGTACTGTGCCTTGTGGAACACTGGGAGCGAGTACTGGCCTTGGGAACACTGGGGCCATACTGTACCTTGTGGGAAAACTGGGAGCGAGTACGTGCTTTGTGGGGCACTGGGAGCGAGTACTGTGCCCTTTTGGAACACTGGGGCGAGTACGTGCCTTGTGGAACAGGGACGAGTACTGTGTTGTGGAACACTGGGAGCCTACTGTACCTTGTGGAACACTGGGGGCGAGTATGGCCTGTGGAACCTGGGGGCCGACTGTACCCTTTTGGGAAAACTGGGGGGGAGTAGTGCCTTTGGGGAACACTGGGAGCGAGTACTGGGCCTTTTGGAACACTGGGAGCGAGTACTGTACCTTGTGGAACACTGGGAGGGGAGACGTGGCCTTGGGAACATGGGAGCGAGTATGTCCCTTTTGGAACACTGGAGCGAGTACTGTGCCTGTGGAACACTGGGAGCGATACTGGCCTTGTGGAACACGGGAGCAAGTACTGTGCCTTGTGGAACACTGGGGGCGAGTACTGTACCCTTTTGAAACACTGGGGGGAGTACTGTGCCTTGTGGAACACGGGGCGATCTGTGCCTTGTGGAACATGGGAGCGGTACGTGCCTTGTGGAACATGGGAGCGAGTACTTGCTTTGTGGAATGGGGGGCGAGTTTTTGGGCCCTTTTGGGAAAATGGAAACGGTACTGTGCCTTGTGGTACACTTGGAAACGATCTGTGCCTTGTGGAACATGAGACGGTACTGTGCCTTTTGGTCACTCGGAGCAAGTACGTGCCTTGTGGAAAAAGAGCATTTACTGTAGTGGCTCAACTTTCTTTTTTTACACTACCTTTGTGTTCTATTAGAAAGCTGTAGATCCTTCTACCAACTTTTCCTGTTACTCCTTTTTCACGCATCTTATGCCCTATTACACCATGGTCACACTTTGCGAAAGCTTTTGTAAAGTCTGTGTATTCTACATCTGCATTTTGTTCATCCTCTATAGCATCCAGGACCTTGTCATAATGGTCCATTAGCTGGGACAGGCAGGAGCGACCTGCTCTAAACCCGTGTTGCCCTGGGTTGTGTAAATGATGTTGTCTAGGTGGTTGACGATCTTGCTTCTTGAACCCTCTCAATGATTTTTATGAAATGGGACGTTAGCGTTATTGGTCTGTAATTCTTTGCAATTGCTTTGCTACCACCTTTGTGGAGTGGGGTTATGTCTGTTATTTCAAGTGAGTATGGGATGAACCCTATGTCCATGCTCCCTCTCCATAGAATGCTGAAGACAGGAGCTTCTTGCAGTTCTTGATGAAGACGGAGTTCCACGAGTCTGGGTCTGGGGCAGAGTGCATGGGCATGTCATTTATTGCCTTTCCGAAGTCATGTGGAGTTAGTGTAATAAGAGAGATGTTTAAATTAAATAAGTTCTGAGTCTCCCTCATAAAAAAGATTCATTTATGTTGTCGACTCTTAGTTTATTTAGCGGCTCACTAAGCACCGAGTCATATTTTGCCTTTAGTATCTCACTCATTTCATTGCTGTCATCTGTGTCCCATCTCGCCTAAGCAGGGTCTAATACTTAGATTTGACATAAGAGAAGTATTCTGGGTTTCTTTCATTTTCATTTATGGCTTTAATTCTTCATGAGTTTCTTGTCTACTGTGAGATTCCTTAAGTTTTAGTTCGATATTTGCTATTTCTCTGACCAGTGCCTCCCTTCGTATTTCAGATATACTGCCCCCCTCTCAGCAGCTCCGTGATTCTTCACCTTCGCCTGTATAGACAGCGCCTCTCTTTCTAGTTTACATCTTCTCTTCCTATGTGTTAAAGGAATGTGCCTTGAGCAGCCCTCAAGTGCCACAGAGTTAATTATTTCTAGGTAGAGGTTCGAATTTATGTTGTTTAGGCCACCATCCCAGCTTGTTTCATTTAGGATATTGTTGACTTGTTCCTATTGCATATTTTTGTTACTGAAGTTGAATTTTGTGAAGACACCCTCATGACTGATCACATTTTGCTGGTCAGGAGCCCTGTACATACATGTCTGTACCTCTGTTATGTTGTGATCTGAGTGTATTGTCTTTGATACGGTTATATTACGTATCAGATCATCGTTGTTAGTGAAGATGAGGTCCAGTGTATTTTCTAGTTTTTTTGGCTCTTGTTATTAACTGGTTTAAAGTGAATTTGGTGACAAGATTTAATATCTCATGTGTGTGTGTGTAAATTTTCATCTGAGCTGCCTCCTGTAAAAATTTTTATTTATTACATTCCTCCATTTTAGGTGTCTTAAGTTGAAATCTCCTCGCAGCAAGATGTTGGAGGCAGGAGCTGGAAGATTTTCCAGACACTGGTCAATTTTCAAAAGTTGTTCTTGGAATTGTTGGGAAGTTGCATCTGGACGCTTGTATACAATCACAATGACCAGGTTTTGGTTCTCGATCTTTACTGCGTTTAGAGAGTTCCGAGCATATCAGTGACTGTGACATACAGACCAACCCCTTCCTCCCTTTATACCTGTTCACTCTGTCACATCTGTATAGGTTATAACCTGGAATCCATATTTCCTTGTCAAGGTGATCCTTTATGTGGGTCTCTGTGAAAACCGCAAAATTGCGTTTGTCTGTAAGCATTCTATGGATGAAAGGTATTTTGTTGTTCGTTGGTGGCTTCAGACCCTGTATATTTGCAAGGATAAATGTCGTCGTATTGATGGTATGCGGTGGGGGGAGCTTTGTTGGCTGGCACTAATTTCTGTTGTTTTGGAGTGGAGGCCACTGACTGTACCTCCGCATAAAAGTGATTTGAGTTGGTGTAAGATTACTCTCATCTTTACAAAGGTATACTGTCGGAAATAAAACAAGAGCCTCTTCGGCTTCCAGAGTCAGAACGATCTCATCCCTGACATGATCCCCAAATTTCGAAAATGGATAGTTACCAAAATTTTGCTACTGCACTTGATCTTCCTGGAGATCTAGACATTCTTCTTAAAATCCTGGTGTATCTAACTTTACTGGTGCGTACACTCAGCACTTTCCCGATCCAACTATGATGCTGGATGTAAATACTTTTGCGGGGCATATACCAGTCCAATTCTTTCTGAAGCTTCTCCAGATTACCTTAAAATTTAAAAAAAAAAAACAGCTTTGAGTGGTAATTCTGACAAATCTTGTCGCATAGTATTGTGTCCTGAGAAGGCAGTCAATTTTATTTTTAATACTGAGGAACATTTAACCTACCATCGCCAGATGGTAAAGATAATATGAATGACATTTTGTGGTCGTGGGCAGCTAACGAAAACATTAACATTACCTTACGTAAAATGAACAAGTTGCTCACGACAGTTAAATTCATTACTGAATTTAACGTTGACTGAACTCTACTGAATCATCGTCAGCGTCTAAGATCTTGTTCTGTGAGGACGAACTGTACTCAGATGTCCCTCTAAGTCCCTGTGGAGGACACAGGCGTATCTTAAGTCGTCTCTGATGTTGGCATTTCTTTATACATGCCAACTTAATCCTAAATTAGGCGCTTATGAGAGCTCCTACAAGATTTTTAATTATATGGTGATTTTATTTTTCATTATAGTTTTTTTTGTAGACCTGAAGATGAGAGTAGAAAGTGTCGAAACATCTTAAAAAATGATTTATTCTACAGTTAGATCATTAATAAGAGTTGAACCAAACATACTTTAATAACATCACGCCACTCGTAGCTTCAGTGACATCACGCCACTCGTGGCCTCCATGACATCACGCCACTCGTGGCCTCAATGACATCACGTCACTCGAGGCCTCAGTGACATCACGCCACTCGTGGCCTCAATAACATTACGCCACTCGTAGCTTCAGTGACATCACGCCACTCGTGGCCTCTATGACATCACGCCACTCGTAGCTTCAGTGGCATCACGCCACTCGTGGCCTATATGACATCATGCCACTCGTGGCCTCTATGACATCACGCCACTCGAGGCCTCTATGACATCACGCCACTCGTAGCTTCAGTGGCATCACGCCACTCGTGGCCTCTATGACATCATGCCACTCGTGGCCTCTATGACATCACGCCACTCGTGGCCTCTATGACATCACGCCACTCGTAGCTTCAGTGGCATCACGCCACTCGTGGCCTCTATGACATCATGCCACTCGTGGTCTCTATGACATCACGCCACTCGTGACCTCTATGACATCACGCCACTCGTAGCTTCAGTGGCATCACGCCACTCATGGCCTCTATGACATCATGCCACTCGTGGTCTCTATGACATCATGCCACTCGTGACCTCTATGACATCACGCCACTCGTGGCCTCTATGACATCACGCCACTCGTGGCCTTTATGACTGGCCTCCCTCCATGGTGTCAACATTCTGACTACTCTTCAATTCGTAGCTTAATCCCGGCTATTTCACTGAATTACATAGCTTCTAATGACGGATTATACTGTCACGTTGCAGGTACAGGGACGGTGGTGGTGGACGTGGAGGACATCAATGATGTTCCTCCGAGGTTCTCTCGTCCTGAGTGGTCCCTCGACGTCTCTGAGAACCATCCTGTCGAGCGTGTACTGGCCACCCTCACGGTCGTTGACCACGACATCTCTAATAACTTCACCTTCAGGGTTAGTTTAATACTATTATTCTTATTATTATTATTATTATTATTATTATTATTATTATTATTATTATTATTATTATTTATTATTATTATTGTTATTATTATTATTATTATATTATTATTATTATTATTATTATTATTATTATTATTATTATTATTATTATTATTATTATTAAAAGTTACTACTACTGCTGCTACTAATACTGTGGCCCGTGGCCTGGTGACTAAAGCTCTCACTTCACACGGCGAGGGTCCGGCTTCGATTCCCGGCGAGGGTAGAAACACTGGATGTGTTTCTTTACACAGGTTGTCTATGTTCACCCATTAGTAAAATGGGTATCTGGGTGTTAGTGGACTGGTGTGGGTCGCATCCTGAGACAAAACTGACCTAATTTTCCCGAAATGCTCAGTATAATAAGTAGCTTTCTATATAGTAGTATGTCACTGATATAAGTAAGTTTATTCAGGTATACACAAATACACTTACAAAGATTATCATACATAGCAGCTTATGTGTAGAGAACCGTCCAGGATGACCCAAAAATGTCAGATAAAGTGACTACTGCTATGACCCACAAGGCCTGCAGTTTTGTGTGTACTACTACTAATACTGTTACTACTATTACTGGTACTATTACTACATCTGCTGTTACTACTACGATTACTACTGCTACCTCCTAATATTTGCTACACTAATTATTATAAAAAGCCAGATCATGGTGTGCAGAGTGTCAGGAAGAACACTCGGAGACAAGAGTACTTTCACTATTGCGGTGTGAGATAATTCTTATGTGATTCTATTGTACCATCATGTTGTCTCATGTGACATTATGTGTAGTCATGCGATCATGTAATATACGTGTGTGTTGATGGCTAGTGGCCTCTTGAAGCTAACATAGCATCAGTTGGTGTTCCCTGAGCCTGACCTGGGGAGCTCTTCTCACGTCTTGGGTTGACCATGCTTGACCTGGGAAAATCTGCTCACGTCTTGGGTTGACCATGCTTGACCTGGGAAAATCTGCTCACGTCTTGGGTTGACCATGCTTGACCTGGGAAAATCTGCTCACGTCTTGGGTTGACCATGCTTGAACTGGGAAAATCTGCTCACGTCTTGGGTTGACCATGCTTGAACTGGGAAAATCTGCTCACGTCTTGGGTTGACCATGCTTGACCTGGGAAAATCTCCTCACGTCTTGGGTTGACCATGCTTGACCTGGGAAGATCTGCTCACGTCTTGGGTTGACCATGCTTGACCTGGGAAAGTCTGCTCACGTCTTGGGTTAACCATGCTTGACCTGGGAAAATCTGCTCACGTCTTGGGTTGACCATGCTTGACCTGGGAAAATCTCCTCACGTCTTGGGTTGACCATGCTTGACCTGGGAAGATCTGCTCACGTCTTGGGTTGACCATGCTTCACCTGGGAAGATCTGCTCACGTCTTGGGTTGACCATGCTTGACCTGGGAAGATCTGCTCACGTCTTGGGTTGACCATGCTTGACCTGGGAAAATCTGCTCACGTCTTGGGTTGACCATGCTTGACCTGGGAAGATCTGCTCACGTCTTGGGTTGACCATGCTTGACCTGGGAAGATCTGCTCACGTCTTGGGTTGACCATGCTTGACCTGGGAAGATCTGCTCACGTCTTGGGTTGACCATGCTTGACCTGGGAAGATCTGCTCACGTCTTGGGTTGACCATGCTTGACCTGGGAAGATCTTCTCACGTCTTGGGTTGACCATGCTTGACCTGGGAAGATCTGCTCACGTCTTGGGTTGACCATGCTTGACCTGGGAAGATCTTCTCACGTCTTGGGTTGACATGCTTGACCTGGGAAGATCTTCTCACGTCTTGGGTTGACCATGCTTAAGATAAACTCTGGTACTATTACTGTTATTTAACAATGTGTCTGACGAGTGACTATGAACGTCTGTCTTGACACTTGGTTGACGTATGTGACTGACTTCCTTCACTTTCTGAGGAATTTCTTACATAATATCTCTTTTTATAATGAAAATTTTTAAAAAGGGTTGACTAGTAAGCCAGTGGAAGGCTTCCATCACAGGACCAAAAGTTCCAGCTGTGGGGTCATTATATGACTAAGACCCACGTCAGGAAACACTTGTTCAGTTTCATAACAAACCTAACGTAACCTAACGTAACCTAACCTAACCTAACGTAACCTAACGTAACGTAACGTAACCTAACTTAACCTAACCTAACCTAACGTAACCTAACCTAACGTAACCTAACGTAACCTAACGGAACGTAACGTAACCTAACGTAACCTAACGTAACCTAACCTAACCTAACCTAACCTAACGTAACCTAACTTAACCTAACCTAACCTAACCTAACCTAACCTAACCTAACCTAACCTAACCTAACCTAACCTAACCTAATCTAACTTAACGTAACCTAGGCAGTGATGCCTAGGCATCACTGCCTAGTCATCACTACCTAGGCATCACAGCCTAGGCATCACTGCCTAGGCATCACTGCCTAGTCATCACTACCTAGGCATCACTGCCTAGGCATCACTGCCTAGGCATCACTGCCTAGGCATCACTGCCTAGGCATCACTACCTAGGCATCACTGCCTAGGCATCACTGCCTAGGCATCACTACCTAGGCATCACTACCTAGGCATCACTACCTAGGCATCACTACCTAGGCATCACTACCTAGGCATCACTACCTAGGCATCACTACCTAGGCATCAACTACCTAGGCATCACTACCTAGGCATCACTACCTAGGCATCACTGCCTCGGCATCACTACCTAGGCATCACTACCTAGGCATCACTACCTAGGCATCACTGCCTCGGCATCACTACCTAGGCATCACTACCTAGGCATCACTGCCTCGGCATCACTACCTAGGCATCACTACCTAGGCATCACTACCTAGGCATCACTACCTAGGCATCACTACCTAGGCATCACTACCTAGGCATCACTACCTAGGCATCACTGCCTCGGGCATCACTACCTAGGCATCACTACCTAGGCATCACTACCTAGGCATCACTACCTAGGCATCACTGCCTAGGCATCACTACCTAGGCATCACTACCTAGGCATCACTACCTAGGCATCACTACCTAGGCATCACTACCTAGGCATCACTGCCTATGCATCACTACCTAGGCATCACTACATAGGCATCATACCTAGGCATCACTACCTAGGCATCACTAACCTAGGCATCACTATCCTAGGCATCACTGCCTAGGCATCACTACCTAGGCATCACTACCTAGGCATCACTACCTAGGCATCACTACCTAGGCATCACTACCTAGGCATCACTGCCTAGGCATCACTACCTAGGCATCACTACCTAGGCATCACTACCTAGGCATCACTACCTAGGCATCACTGCCTCGGCATCACTACCTAGGCATCACTACCTAGGCATCACTACCTAGGCATCACTGCCTCGGCATCACTACCTAGGCATCACTACCTAGGCATCACTGCCTCGGCATTACGTCTCTCTCGTAAATGAATTCTTGAGATTATTACAGCAGGTGATACAGGCGGCCAGAGGGGACCCTGATCACTCAGGCTGTAGGCGCTGGCACGTAATGCATAGCAATCACAATTCAAATAACCCTCTGAAGTGCAAAGTTCCCTTCCTTCCTTCCTTCAGAGTCCGGCAACCTGGTCACTTTATCCCTTCATGAATATTTGATGGGCTTCCGTTCCTACGCTAACCGAGGAAGGAATCCCCGCGCCCCGGAAGCCTTGTCTCCTCTGGCGAGATATATCTCAATGTTCGGTGAGTCACACTCAGTATGTGACCATGGACTCAATGTTCGGTGAGTCACACTCAGTATGTGACCATGGACTCAATGTTCGGTGAGTCACACTCAGTATGTGACCATGGACTCAATGTTCGGTGAGTCACACTCAGTATGTGACCATGGACTCAATGTTCTGTGAGTCACACTCAAGATGTGACCATGGACTCAATGTTTTCTGATCAATAAATACTTCTAACAGGTTATAATGATAGCAGTAGTGGTAGTAGTAGTAGTAATAATAATAATAATAATAATAATAATATTAATAATAATAATAATAATAAAAATAATAATAATAATAATAATAATAACAATAATAATAATAATAATATTAATAAATAATAATAATAATAAAATAATAATAATAATAATAATAATAATAATAATAATAATAATAAAAATAATAATAATAATAATAATAATAATAAATAATAATAATAATAATAATAATAATAATAACAACAATAATAATAATAATAATAATATAATAATAATAATAATAATAATAATAATAATAATAATAATAATAATAATAATAATAATAATAATAACAACAACAACAATAATAATAATAATAATAATAATAATAATAATAATAATAATAATAATAATAACAACAATAATAAAAATAATAATAAATAATAATAATAATAATAATAATAATAATAATAATAATAATAATAATAACAATAACAATAATAATAATAATAAAATAATAATAATAATAATAATAATAATAATAATAATAATAATAATAATAATAACAATAACAATAACAATAATAATAATAATAATAATAATAAAATAATAATAATAATAATATTAATAATAATAATAATAATAATAATAACAACAATAATAAAAATAAATATAATAATAATAAAATAATAAATAATAATAATAATAATAATAATAATAATAATAAAAATAACAATAATAATAATAATAATAATAAAATAATAATAATAATAATAATAATAATAATAACAACAATAATAAAAATAATAATAATAATAATAATATAATAAAAATAATAAAAATAATAATATAATCAATAACAATATAATAATAATAATAATAATAATAATAATAATAATAATAATAATAATAACAATAATAATATTAATAATAATAATAATAATAATAATAAAATAATAATAATATAATAATAATAATAATAATTATAACAATAATAA